ATAAACTATTATTCTACAACTAATTTTTTAAAATAAACTTTTCTGGAGAGAATTTAAAAAATATTTTCAATTTTTTTAATTTTTTTTTTTAAAATAAAAAAAGTAGTCACGGATCATAAGCCGTGACTATATTGTAGACCGGATTGTTTTAAATGATTTTCTAAATAATTTTTTTTTTTTAAATTTAAAACTTTTTTTAAATAAAAAACATTAGTCACGGATAGATTCCGTGACTAAATTTTGAATTTTTGAATGTTAACACCCTGAATTTTGGCGGCTTGTTTTTGAAATTTGAAAAATTAGTCACGGATTTGTCCGTGACTACATTTAGTCACGGGCAAAGGCCGTGACTAAGTCGCTGGTGGGGTTATTCCGGTCACAATTTTGACACGGATACGATCCGTGACTAATCCGTGACTACGATTAGTCACGGAAAAAAAGTCCGTGACAGGAATTAGTCACGCCCAAACAGTCACGGATTTAGTCACGGCAAAAGTCCGTGACTACGATAGTTAGTCACGGATTTTTTAAAGTACGATCCGTGACTAAATCCGTGACTAACTCCGTGTTTTTTTGTAGTGGTGGGACAGACCGAAATGGTAAAATAGGACAATCATAGCGGGACGGAGGGGGTAATAATAATTATTATTATAAGCAGCTATATATAATAATACGAAGTAATATAGAGTATAATTGTGACTTAACTTTCTAAATAAATATGAACGTTAATCATCTAAATATGTAACGTAACAAATGTACTATGCCCAACTTTCCAAATATATGAGGAATAATCATTAATACTATCGTATGAGAGCATCTCCAATGCTAAAATGTTAACGGTGCATACGTGGCATGGGAGATAACCAATTAAAAAATAACAAATAGACCATCTTTCTCCTTATTTGAAGGATCTTACATCATTTTGGTAAGTTTTTCTTCACAATGTCAAGCACAATGTCTAGGTGTAGACATTGTGGTTGACATTGAAGAGAAAAACTTACCAAAACACATAAGACCGTTGAAAGAAGGAGAGAGAAATGTCATAAAATCAATCTTTTGTGTGTATCTCTCTCATGCCACATGTGCACCGTGTAGCATTGAAGATGCTCTAAGAATGGGTATATATACGAAACGGAAAGTGACATGTGGTTAATTTAAGAGTAGCCAAAAGAGTGACACATGGCAATGGTATATAATAGAATGACACATGTCAATGTGACTTTCAATTGTATAATAATGTTAATGTGACTTTCAATTGTATAATAATATATATAGATGGAGAAAAAGTAAAATTGAAGATAATTTTTTTAACTCAAATTGCCTAAAGTTGATCGATAGAGATAAAAACTAGTTGTTACCCATATTTTGCTGTTCATTTTATTAAAATTATACATTAAATATAATTTTGTATGATCCTACTATGCAGGTTCATTCATTTTAGTCCTTGCACACGGAGGTAATTAATCTAATAAAAATCTTCACTCTAGAAAATCTGCTAAAAGCTAACACGCCGAATTTATTGTAGGATTACAAAAGGTCAAAATTTTGCAAACTAAAGGACTTGCAAAAGCGGTAGCAAAGCAACGTAACCTACAGTTGAAAAGCAAAACAAGGATAGGGTTGAGACGCATTAATAAAAAATTAGTGTGTATTTAAAGTACTTCAATAATCCAGGGGATGGCCTGAAAACAATGAGGCATGTCGTGGGGGACAAGTGGATAACCGCTTAAGGAATTGAACGTGATCGATCAAAATTCACAAGACAGGAACGGAACCAACGCCATGCACGTTCTTTTTAGCTAGGGCGCCTTTTTACATCGGCAGCAGCTTGCTTTGTGTGACAATCTGATGTTGTAATTGTACATTATACAACTTGGAGAAGTTATTAACATATAATCTCTCTCTGATCTGATTTTTCTCACAGACATAGTTTCAGATTACTGTTTCTATCATATATTGAACTTTCATGATCGATGTGGTGCTCTACGATTTAAATTGCTTTAACGTTGTTCGTGTTATCTCATTTTGGATACAACATCAAATTTAACATCAATTAGTAAGTCACACGTAAGTTGCACGGTACGGTTAGTGATTATTCTCAAGGAAATGTTGATTAAGAATTTAAGCACTTGAAAACATACTTCTATTACACATATGGAGTGTCTTTTGAAGTGATGGTTAGATGAAACCAAAATTACATACTAAATGGTTAAATTTGAACTAAAAAATACTCTCTCCGTCTCCGTAAGAAGTTCCCACTTTCCTTATTTGGATGTCCCTAATTTAAGTTCTTATTTCCTTAGATGGAAAGTTATCTACATCTAAACAGTGTCAAATAGTTCAAAACAGTTTCATACAGTGTCGAAACAGTAAAATTTACTCCTGGTAAGTTTACTTGCATAAAAGTGTGTGAAAGTCAAATAGGGAACTTATTTCGGGGACGGAGGGAGTATATGCTATAAAGCATCTTGTATTCATATAGTATTCATAGTACTCAAAAAATTACATAGTAATTCTGCGATTTTGAAAATTTCCTTGCACACACAACATTCAAATTATATTTAATTATGTACTACATACGTATTAGTAATATTATTAAAAATTAATATTTTGAAAAATCACATTAATAAAAATTTGGTAATATTTTATACATAATAATATGATTATATATATTAGTAGAAAATTATGGTTAGTTCATGTATGCTAACAGTGCAAAAATTACTGTTGAAGGTGAAGGAAAAAGATGAAGTGTCGATGGTCCGCCCCCCTCCGGAACCACCGCCAAGAAGAGTGGTGTTCCTGCTGAAGAAGCCAAACTTTGTTTTTTATTTTATTGTTGTTTTGCATTTTAATTTCCACGTGGTGACTGTTGTTTTTTGATTTTGTATTATTTACTGCTGTAAGACTTTTGCATTAGGATTAGGTGATGAGACTACTGCGATAACCGTCTTTGGCTCAATTATGCCCAGTTTAGATCAACGAGTTATATTGCTTTATCAAAGATAATTAACTCTGAGTCTGGTTCAAGGGTGGATGGTTATATGTGGTTCTTTTGTTATTTTTAACCCCTATCTGAATGCTGTGATATCAAATTAAGTCATCTTCTTCCAAAAAACATAGTGCAAAAATTACATTATGGCAACTATAAAGTAACATATAACAGTATACTCCATACACATCTATTTATTTAATTGTCATATACTATCCTCCGTTCTCTTTTAATCGCAACATTGGATTTTCTGCACTATTCACATATTCTACTTTGACTATATTTTATTCATTAATACGTTATAAATTAATTTTTTTTAAATATTATTAAATTCTTCTCATTCTAATATTTTTTAAAATATGAATTTTTTGAATTTTTTACTAATAAGGAATGAAAGATATTAATGGTCAAACTTGTGCGTTGGCAAACGTGAAATGTCGACTGTTGCAATTAAAAGGGAACGGGGATATATACACCATTAATAAAATCAAATATGAGACGTAATCTCTATACGTCACTTATGATAATTGTGTTTCCCGCAATGGGGTCCACCCACTGCCGGGCTCACCATTTTTAGGACCTGAAGTGGGTCCACTATATTATATCGTCACGACTCACGAGAGCTTCACTAGTGTATAATTCACCAAAGGAACACAAATCACGTCGTAAAACAACCAAACTAAATACTCCGTAAGAAGAAAAACAACAGTTTGGATTGTTGAGGTTCTATTGTGGAGACTGGAGAGTGCGTCTATTAAGGTCAAAGGATAAAATGGAATCAACAATTTTGAATTACGCTAGAAATTTTTATTTTATGATTGAATACAAGCAATACATGCATTATTTATTTTATATAAATACGTAGTATATTTTAAAACTTACTACCTGTCTCCATTTTTAAATAAGTGCAACATCTTAAATTTACACTATTCAAATGCTCTTTTTTGACTATGTTTTGTTTATTAATGTAATAATAAATTATTTTTAAAAAATATTTCTAAATTTGTCTAATAGTAAATTCTAAAAATCTTATTTTTATTTTTTTACTAATAGAGAATTAAATATACTAATGGGCAAAGTTGCACACCGGCAAATGCGGAAAGTAAACTACACTGTTGTACACTGTTCAAGAACGTCAAAGTTGTGTTTCGACAAAAGTGAAACGTGTTGCATCAGCAAATGTGAAAAGTGGAAAGTAGTATATTTTTATAAATTATTTGTGAAATTGACAAAAATAATATCTACTTTTACTTATTTCAGAAAAATATTCACTACTTGAAAAGTTTGCAATAATAATCCAAACTACTTAAACCGGTTCACAAAAATAAACCACGATTTGATGTTATTTCGTTTATTTTTTTCTCTTAAAAATAATGAAGCAAAAATAGAAGAAAGATTTAAACACATACTCATAAGACATATACTCATTAATTTTTCATCACGATAGAGATTTAAAAGTAGTTTTAGTAATACTACATCAAATATTAGTACACTGTAATATAATTATTTTAAATTAATCAAATTTAAAAATTGAAATCTCCTATTATTTGAATGGATGAGATACTAAATTATAATACATAAATATGTTTGAATTTATATTTAATTTACTTAAATATACAAAGTTTCGTAACTATGAATGCAAACACGTTTCTTCTATAATATTTTCGTATCTCATCTATTTAATATATAATAGATATCTACTTATAAAATTGACTAACTTAAAAATACTCCGTAATTATCTTCTACTTTTTATTAATATTTAACGGAGAATTTCTAATTAAATTACTTTGAAATCTCTAAAATAACGAATATAAATACTACTTTTGTATTGATAAGGAATAAAACATAATAGATAATGCTTTTTAAGTGAATTGTTATCACGTGCATGTCATGTGCAACTCACTTGTACGATAAAATCATTTGTTATTATTCTATCCCCATCATTTGTTTTCAAATTTGATTTTGTCATAGTGTACACGGCGAATGACAAACAAAACATTAAGTAGTTGCATTGATGAAAAGAAGATGAAAATTGCATGCATGGAAAATAGAAAGAGGTTTACATGAACATAAACAAAACAACACGATTGCTATAGGAAAGTAATTTGTTATTATACAACAATGTTTAGACAATATGGATGAGATGGGAGGTACACTTATCCAACACCATTGTACCTGTAGAAGCTCCAAGCTGTAATAGAAAAGATGGGGTACTCGTGCCAGCAAATGAGGAAACACCCATCTCTATCTTTGATGTTGTACCCAATGTGGTTATTTTGATCAAGTAGTAACCTGTTCCCATGCATCATCGCCCTATGGCTCAAAAGCTCCCTCCTGAACCCGCAGAGCTGGAGCCTAGCAATCCATTTATCTACTTTCTCATGCCTCTCCTTCCTCTCGACACCCTCACAAGAAACAATGTTCTTTATTTCCTCCCCGAAAAGCAAGTGCTCCACCTTCTGGCGCTCAACAGAAGCTCGTGGAACGGTGCATTCCATGCAGTCAAAGAGCGCCGCATAGTAGTTCAGAGCCTGGATTGACCTCTCTTCGAGAAGAAGCCCATTGTGGTCAGAATCTTTCTCGGTGATCACCATGATCTTCGGGGATAGGCTCCGCAAAGCGCTCAAGAAAGTGATGATCTTTGGTGAAGACGAAGAAGAAGGCCCGGGGGAGTTACAATCGAATGCCAAGAGGCGGTGAAGCTGAAGCACGGAACTAATGGCGAGAGCTTCCCCCATCTTCACATGAAGACTCTCCATCTCCAGATCCTCCAGTTTACTCACAATAGGGTTAAACTGGAAAGGGATATCCAGTTTCTCAGCTTCTGCATTAAGTTGCCGAGCCATTTTTTCCAAAACCACTCTACTCTCGTGAACACCTGTTTTGAATTGAAATACTACACTCATCCGACATTATTAAAAAAAATCAAATTGTCACATATTTGGCACGGAGAATAACATAATTTTGACATAGCTCATGACAAATTCGTGCCAAATCTCCCGTGGATTTCGGAAAATCTGTGCCAATGATCTGTGCCAATTACGTGCCAATTCTGTGCCAATTCCGTGTCAATTCTGTCATATTTTGTAGTGCAAACAACATGTGTGTCAATAATTTTATATTTGAATGAAAATATACTTTGAATAACTTAAACATCACAACTTCAATTATAAATAATATCTACCCTAATATATTTTCTTGTATATTGATATGACGTAGTACACCGTATGTATTTATGTAAAGTTGAGGGAGTGAGGGTTTTGGTACTTTGTGGTTTTATACTATTTATAATACGGAGTATTTATAAGAATGTATTCTACATAGTACTTTTTTTCACGAGATTTCCAATTTCATTCTTACAAATTTTGTCCTACAATTAACAAATTTATGTAATTAAAGGAATTTCCCGCATGAATGTACACTTTTAATTTTGCCAAAAAAACCCGAAAAAGACGGCGGGTGCCTTTAATTTTCTGCTCGATGCAATTTTTCATGTGAAAAGTAAAGCTAGATACAAATTTTCATAAATATGAATGTAATAAGCACGCACATTTCTACTATGATGATTCAGTATGTCATATGTTCAATATATAGGAGATATCTATTTATAAAATTGACTAAATTAAAAGTAATTATCATATACTTTGTATTAATATTTAATGGAGTGTGACTGATGTACTTTGAAATATTCTTTATTATAATGAATATAAATAATATATTGATAAGGAATAAAAGACAATAGAGAATTTGATGTGTGTGTACTGTGTCTATGTAGTGTTCAAATATTTAATTTCCATTATATAGTATAAATAAGATTAAATGAAACTATAATATTGTAAAATTATATATATATATATATATATATATATATATATATATATATATATATATATATATATATTCTCTGTAATATTTAAATAAAAAACAAAAAAGTGAATATTGTTAACATTCGGTTTATTTTTGGGAAGCATTTAACTAGTAATTGGGTTTATCGTTGTGAACTTTTTCAATATGGATTATTTTTGTAAAATGCGTAAAACTAGAGATCAATGAAGTATATAATAACAAGATAGTTATAACCTGTGAGCCTTAGATGAGGAGGGCCTTCTGCGCGTGTACTCATGGCACGGAGAAGGCTCAGCCACTGAAAATGTTCAGATGGGCTAAGATCAATAATGTGGACCACCTTCTCCCCCTCCATAGCTTCCATTATAGCCTCATTCGTCATCACATACGAAAGTCTCATGAAAGGGCAAAGGTCAAAGAACATTTTCCGGATGGCCTTTTCATATCCAGCGGTGGGTGTTATGGCAGTAGCATTAAGGGCTCGATACAACCCCGGCCAAACCCTAATGATGCGGTGGGCGATGGCGGAGATGAAGTGGGCGGCGACCCTTTGCATCGCATCGCCGTTGGGAGAGGCAAGTTGGGAGATTTGATCAAGGACCATACTGGCATTTGCCAGGTTTCCAGAAGCAACGAAGGCCAGACATGTGAGAAGGAGATGAGCAAGGAACAAGCCTCTTCGTGCAAAGGTGTCTCCTTGCTGCTGGTGTTCTGCAGGGTTATGATGAGGTGGAACCAAAGAGAGGTCGTTCTCCATTGGTGATGTTGAAGATGGACCTTCACCTCTCGTCATTCTTTTCAAAAGAGCTAAGCTAGCACGAGAAATTACCTGTGGATTAATTAGTACAGTATGGATTTTAGTTGAAGAAACTACTCAAAAGAGTTGGAATTAATAGATAAGATCGAAATAAAGTAGGCTTACGCACTGTGTTTGACTCCCTATACGTTTTTTTAATTGTTTGAGTCTTTTGAGTCTAATCTGTTGTAGTCCGGTGTGATCTGTTTAAGTTTTGTTTGAATGAGTTTTATAGATTTTGTTTTATGTTGTGTATTTCACCATCATCGAAGTCTAATCAGATAATGTGTTTAAGTTTGTTGTGGTTTGATTTGGAATTAAAAACAGTTCAATTAAACACATCCTAAGTACAGAGTTATTTAGCCCTAATTATAAAAGGTAAGAATATAAAAAATTCAAAATAGGAGGGAATAAATCATATTTTAGGTAGAGATACAAGCAACCATATTATAAGCAATCATATATCAAGCTTATCAACCAATTTTTTCATCAAACGCGTAACTTTTGATTTCGCGCGTTGAATTGGATAAAGTTACTGTAGAGGATTATTTTATCAACTTTTTCATAAATTGTTTTCTTTATTTTATTAAAAAAAATATTGTAAATAATATTTTTTCATATATCAACAAAATCAATCAATCCAGTAACTTTAACCAGAACTCACAGTGCATTGCTCTTATTTATAGAATTTTATTTGCGCCTAATATATAAGGGGTTAAACATAATGAACAGCAATTATAAAATGAAACATTTAAGTTGGTTTGATACGCATGCATAAAGGAAAAAAAAAAGGCTTGAACATTAGATTTCTACCCATTTCAACAAATTTGACTAACAGTTCCATAAATCTTGTCACTAACGACGTCCAACCTTTATTTAGGGTTCAACCGTATTATAAGTGTATAACTGATATGGGCAGTATCCAAAAAAATTAAAGTTCTTGAAATGAAAACAAATACTCCGTAAAATGCATTGTTTAATTGATTTGGTGGTCATATTGCTGTGTTCTTTGTGGCCGGAATTTTATCATACAACTAACCTTTGACTGTGCACCCTAAAGTAAATAAGGAGAAAAAGTGAAATTGAAGAAAATTTATACCACTCCCAAATTACATAAAAACTTCTCAACAACATTGGAGTTCAAAAGAGTTCTCTTGTAACGGAATCCACAAGCTAATCCCCCCATCCAAAATTTAATCCAAGATAAAAAAAAAACTACCGAGTATTTTTTTAACCCATACTTTGATTTTCACACTTTATTAAAAAATATAGATCAAATATTTTTTTCATGAGGCTACAGGTTCACTCATTTCAGTCCTTGCAAACAGACGTAATCTGCTACAAAATCTTTACCCGAGAAAATCTGCTATAAAACTAGCAGTCCGAATTTATTATAGGACTACAAAAGGTCAAATTTTGATGTAATTTGTATAATCTCATCCAACTAATTGAAGGTACTTGCAAAAGCAGTAGGAAAGCATATACTTGTACAAATTAAATCACGAACGTAACTTTTATATATATATAAAGATTTTAGTGTTGAATTTGAGTCAATCTCTTGAATGCAATTGAGCCAGCGCATTAACAAGTGAAGAAATACTTACAGCGCGCAGAAAGTTACGTTGTGAGATACCTTCGATCTAGAAAAACCAAAGGTAACTAGAGTTGAAGATCAGAGCTTAACAAGGCTAGGGTTGAGATGTACGGATTACTAACCTAAGATTAGAGTGTATTTATAGCCGGGGATGGCCTGAAAACGATGAAGCCGGCCTGTCTGTGGGGGATAGAGAAGCCGCTGAAGAAACGTGATCGATCAGAGAAAAAGGAACGGAAACAACGAACGTCACCTTCTTTAATTTTAGGGCTACAACTTTTAACAATCCAACTCGGACAATGTGATTTCAACATATAATCTCACTTTGATCTCATCTTTCTCACACAGTTTTAGATTATTGCTCGCTGCAATTATACGGTATTGAACTTTCATTATTAATGTGATGCTCTACGATCTGATTTAACGTCGTTCATGTTATCTCGATCATTTTGGATACAACTTCAAATTGAATATCAATTTCAATTATGAATATAATTGCACGTACGTTGCACGGTTATTAACCTAAGATTAGAGTGTATTTATAGCCGGTGATGGCCTGAAAACAATGAAGGCTGTCTGTGGGGGATATGATAGCCGCTGAAGAAACGTGATCGATCGGAAGTGAAGAAACGTGACCAATCAGGAGTGAAGAAACGGGAGCAACGTCACCTTCTTTTAGGGCGGCACCTTTGTTTTTTTACAACGTAACGTCCGGCAGCTTGCTTAATTCGTGTGAAGATCTATCTGATAATATATGTAATTGTTAGAAAATAGAAGAGGTTGTTGGTGTATGAATATGTTAAGAGATTTTAGTGAGGTGTAGTGTAGAGGAGGTGTTTTAGAGTAGAGCTCTTGTCTCTAGAAAAGATATATTGTATTGATGTTTCTTGGTTTGCTTTTATGAGCAAATGAGTACAATGAGTCCTATTTATAGGTGCTAGAGGATCATTCTAGATCCTTATTAAATGCTATGATTCTAGAGTATTCTACAACTATGTCTAATTAATCTAGATTTTACATAAGAATTCTCTAGTGGAGAATTCTCTAGAATACTTGTAGCTATATTTCTCTAGAACATCTCTAGCCTTTTCTACACAGAATATTCTAGATAAATGCATCACTATTTAATACTCCTCCTTGATGCATTTGTCGGTGACTCCAAGCATTCTTTGCAGAAACTGGAACCTGTCTCTTGGCAGAGCCTTCGTGAAAATATCTGCCAATTGTTCTTCTGTTGGGCAGTACTTCATCTCAATTTGTCCCTTTGCTTGAACATCTCTCAAGAAGTGATACTTGATATCGATGTGCTTAGTGCGATTGTGCTGAACTGGATTTTTAGCCATCGCAATAGCTGATTTGTTGTCGCAAAATATCGCAGTCGCAGAACTTTGCAATTCTCCCATGTCTTCTAATATTCTTTTTAGCCATATAGCTTGGCAGGCTGCTCCGGCTGCTGCAACATACTCGGCTTCGGCTGAAGACAGCGCAACAGAATCTTGCTTCTTTGATCCCCATGAGAAAATTCCCGAACCCAGCTTAAATGCGTAACCGGAGGTGCTTTTCATGTCATCTTGAGATCCAGCCCAATCACTGTCGCTATATCCACTTAGTCGTGAGTCAGGACTTGTTTTGTACCAAATACCATAATTGATGGTTCCTTGTAGGTACCTAAGGAGTCTCTTTGCCGCTCCATAATGAGTCTCAGTTGGACTTTCCATGAACCTCGAGAGCAAGCTTGTAGCATACATTATGTCTGGCCTCGTAGCCGTTAAGTAGAGTAGACTCCCAATCAAACTCCGGTAATTGGTAGCATCCGTTGGCTTTGACCCATCTTCTTTCTTTAATTTCTCATTAGGAACCAACGGAGTAACGACGGCTTTGCAGTCTTGCATTTTGAACTTCTTTAGCATGTCCTTAATATATTTTTCTTGAGATAAGAAGATGCCTTCTTCTTCTTGACTTATCTCCATACCAAGGAAGTAATGCATTAATCCCAAGTCACTCATCTCAAAGGTGTTCATCATGTCTCTCTTAAATTCTTCAATTAATTTTGAATTATTTCCCGTGACAATTAACGCCCGCTTGTGATCGAACAGGCTCTGATACCACTTGTTAGAAAATAGAAGAGGTTGTTGGTGTATGAATATGTTAAGAGATTTTAGTGAGGTGTAGTGTAGAGGAGGTGTTTTAGAGTAGAGCTCTTGTCTCTAGAAAAGATATATTGTATTGATGTTTCTTGGTTTGCTTTTATGAGCAAATGAGTACAATGAGTCCTATTTATAGGTGCTAGAGGATCATTCTAGATCCTTATTAAATGCTATGATTCTAGAGTATTCTACAACTATGTCTAATTAATCTAGATTTTACATAAGAATTCTCTAGTGGAGAATTCTCTAGAATACTTGTAGCTATATTTCTCTAGAACATCTCTAGCCTTTTCTACACAGAATATTCTAGATAAATGCATCACTATTTAATAGTAATCCCACGTTATATAATCGCACTTTGATCTGATCTTTCTAACACTCAGTTTTAGATTAATGTGATCGATGATGATCTAAGATTAGCTAGTGTGTATCTAAGAAACAATGAAGCCTGAAAACAATCAAGTCTGTGGGGATATATATAGAAGGTTAAGAAACGTGAATGTGAGTGAAAAGCTAAGGAACGGAACCAACGTCACGTTCTTTTAGGGCCGGCTGCAACTTTTTTTACAACGGCAGCTTGCTTTGTGTGACGGTATCTATTGAACTTTAATGATTAATGTAGGTGATGCTCTACCATCTGATTTAACATCGTTCATGTTATCTCGATCATTTTGGATACAACTTCAAATTGAATATTATTATATCAACTATGAATAATAATTGCACGTACGTTGCACGGTTAGTGACATATTCAAAAATCTATTCAGTTACTCATACATAAAGGAAAATGACCCCTTCGTATGTTACTTACACAGGTTTTTCAAACTAAAAAACAGAAACAGAAATTGCCTTAAACAGGAGTAAAAACGTTTTAAAATTTCAAAGTAGAAGTGTCATGTTTTTATTCCCTGAATATGAATAATCTGCCAAATTTTGAAAAAAATGTCATGTTTAAAGCCTAGTAATGCCAAACTTGGCAGAAATTTACTCATATTTAAGGAATAAAAAACATAATACTCATATTTTGGAATTTCAAAAAGGTTTTACTCATATTTAGGAATTCTCTCAAAAAAAACTAATTACATTTTCGAACAAAAATAAGTATTTATTTAATTGTCATATACGCTCCTTTAATAAAATTAAGTATGAGACGTAATCTACATTACATATGATAATTGTGTGTCCCTGGGTTCCACCCACCGCCGGGATGGATGCCCCTTTAATTAGGACCTGCGGTCCCACCTGATGAAAACGGTTAGCAACACAAGAGGGGGGGTGAATTGTGTGTGTGGAACCGTGGCAGTTTTTCGCCCAGTTCTAGTGCGGGGTGAAGGGTATTGCGAAATAGTAAAGTGCACAAGGATTTAACGAGGAAAAATCCCTTGGCTCAAAGGGATTAAAAAACCTCGACCTCCCTCGGAGGAATTTTAACAACTTCACTAAAAAGCCTTTGAATGATTACAAGGGAAACTCTCCTAGTCTACCCTTGAGCCACCCCAACTCTATCCTCTCTAGGAAGAGTTACGCTTCTCTACCTTGCGGGTAGAGAGCCTCTCAGCTTTACAACAAAGCTCTCACAACACACGTTACCCAACCCGAGGAAGCTACACTTAGCTAATCCTCAATAACCCAATTACAATATAGGAAGAGAATAAGAACTCTGTCTAGAACTCCGGGAGCAGTTTCAGGTGCCTTGAACTTTGTATTTCTCTCGAGTATCTCTCTTGATATTTTCTCGGTCAAGCACACCCTGCTTCTTCTTCTTGATCTCGATTATATAGTCTACTAGGAATGGATCCGTTGAGACACTTCTTTCCTTGAATGGTTGAGGAACTTGCCTTGAAATTATTCAAAATGCTTTCCTTTTATTTAAGGATCTTCTAGCTCTTAATTATGATGGTCTTTGGTCAACCATATATATGGGAGCAGGAGGATACGTGCATACCATGAGCAAGTCAAAAAGGTATAGAGCATATTATGTGATCAACCATTTAGTAATAATTCCACAAAGATATATATCAATACATATCAAGGGAAGTTATTTATTCACTTAAACTATGCAAGCATGCAACGGATCATATTTCAAATAATATGCAGGAGAATATTTGTTAAATAGGTATGCACAATCAACTAGCTAATCAATTAAGGATTCTTTCCATAAAATAATAAGCTATAATAATAAATCATGCATGAAAATATATTTTTGCTTAAAATAATATTCTTGACAAAGTATAAGCACTCATATAAGGAAAGCACATATTAATTAAATCATACACCATGTAAATCAACCGTTCACACAGAATACAATTAAGAATAATTTTGTCTTCCGTTCCGTATGGAACTGAGAGCGGTTCCGTCCGCTGTTCCACCTGCATAGTTAGTCATTAATAAAACTACATACTCAACAGATTCTTTCCTTTGAGATCGGTCTTCTTAGATGGGCAAGATCAGGACTTGATGTACTATCTTTAATAGCTCGGATCTCCATATATATTTCGGTCCTCTTGCATGGAAATCATTCAAAAATATTTCCTTATAGGTATTAAAAGATATTCTTTTTATTTGATTGAAGGAAATCATTTTTCTTAAGGAAACATTCCTTGTGAGAAGATATGCACGAAAATCCTTTTTGAATTTTGAATAACAACAATTATTTTGGAAACTTGCTTTGTAGAAATATCTCTTAATTAATGCCTTTGATTTAAATAACTTTCCTTTAAAGAAAAAATCCTTTCTTTGTATGATCATTGATTATTTTCTTGCTTAAAAGGTTCTCTTTAATTTAGCAAGATAGATCCGAAATTAAATGGAGAGAAAAGATATTTTAAGCAAGCCGGATTAATCAATCTTGGATTTACGGTGCAGTTCTCGGACCAGTTCTACGGCTTGTTCCAGAGCACGACTTAAACTCTTTTCATGTAGTCACTTACAACCAAAAGTAACACTAGTCGTTTGTCATCAACAAAACAATACGTTCCAACAAATTCCCCCTTTTTGTTGATGACAAACACTTGGTGCCCTAAAGTTAGTTTCATAATGAATAAGCCCAAAGTATCGAGCATAGAACACATAGGGCACATATTCTTCCCCCTTTTGTCACCAACAAAACAATAAATAGCTTGAAAGATAAAAGATAAAAGATAAATTTAGGAAAGATAGTTCATGCCTTGATGAACCCAAGTTCCATCCATATTTGTTCATGTTCATCAAGCTTGTTCTTGAATACCCATTTGAGACCTATCTTGGTCTTGTTCTTGGGTCTCGGTTCTAGATGCCACACTTTATTTCTCTCGAACTGATTTAGTTCTTCCTGCATTGCTAGAACCAGTCAGTTTCGGAGAGAGCCACTTCATGGTTCTCCGGTTCTATAAGTGATAGATAAGCAAAGAAGGAATAAAAATTTCTAAGTTTAGATCTAGTAGTTACTCCCTGATTTAGGTTAATCAAGAGGTTATCCAAAGGATGTGATTGATGAAGTTTCCATCCTCTATGAGCATTTGAAGTCTTCAATTTCCTACGAGTCGTCTGGAACTGGATCTGCCTGTTCTTCAGTCTGGTTGGCAGTGG